GGCACGCAGGTTTTCAGCAACTGCTACATTGAAGGTAGTGTCGACTTCATCTGGGGTTTCTCTACGGCGTACTTCCACCAATGTAAGATCGTCACCAATACCCCCGGATCGTGTATTGCTGCACAGTCCCGATCTAGCGCGGACGCTGTTGGCGGTTATGTGTTTGACTCCTGTATGGTCACTTACAGCTCCACTTACGGGAGTTCGTACGGACTAAGCTACCTCGGTCGCCCTTACTCACAGTTCTCGATCGCTGTCTATATGAATTCGTACATTGACAAGCACATCAAGGACGCCGGTTGGTCTGTGTGGTCCACAAGTTCCCCCCAAACTTCCGGCGTCATGTTCGGCGAATTCAACAATTCAGGACCTGGATCATGGCAGGCCTCCACCCAGCGTGCTAGCTTTGCGACCAATTTGACGGCGGATCAGGCTGCGAAGTACGGGCTTGCTGCATGGATCGGCGATACCACGTGGTTGGACATGACCGCGTACAATTCCGTCCCTTCGTATAGCCTTACTGGTCTCTCATCAACGTCGCCGTCTACCAACGCTACTACGACTGGATCGTCCACTTCTGCCACTACTGCCGGATCTACCACCACTGCCACTACGAGCGGATCAACTACCACGGCCACAATCAATGCTCACCCCGACAGCGGCACTATACCACCTACTGGCGCAGTCATTGTTTCCGTCGACGGAAGCCATGATGCTGCGTTCACCAACCTCACTGCGGCTCTTGCGTCGCTTCCAAAGGACTCTACCAACCAGACGATCTTCCTGTATGCCGGTACTTATAACGAGCAAATTCCTTCGGTCAACCGTCCCGGTGCAGTCAGGATCATTGGGTACACTACCGGCAACCCTGGACAATCGTACAAGGACAACCAGGTCACCATCACTTACTCTCGTGGCCTCTCTGTCTCTCCTCTACCTACTGGTCACTCTAATGCGGAGACTGCTACTTTCGCAACCGCCTCGAACAGAATCAGCTTGTACAATATCAACATGATTAATAGCGATAACCTCGATGGCGCCCAGTCTTCCTACGTCACGCTTGCGGCATCGATCTACGGCAACGACATCGCATTCCATGCCTGCTCTTTTGATGGATGGCAGGACACCTTGCTAACTGGAGCTACGGCTGGTTATCAATACTATGAGTCTTGCTACATCGGCGGTGCAATCGACTTTATCTGGGGATACTCCAAGGCTTACTTCAAGGGCTGCACAATCGGCGCTAAGCGCCAGTCGTCTGCTATGACCGCTCACAGCAGAGCCTCTTCCACGGCGATCGGCGGCTATATCTTCGATCAGTGCCTGTTCACCGCTGCGCCTGACGCGACCGTTGATCTCACCAACAAGGTTTACCTAGGCCGTCCCTACTCCCAATATGCTCTTGTGGTCATCAAAAACTCTTACATTAGCAATACTATCAACCCAAGCGGCTGGAAGATCTGGTCTACCACCGACCCACGAACAGACCATATTACATTTGCAGAATATAACAATTCTGGACCTTCCAACTGGGAGAATAATGTTGCCGCTCGCGAAGCTTACGGTAACGCCACGCTTCTCACCTCGGACACTTACCCGCTGTCATCTGTGATGGACTCTACTGAATGGATCGATATGACCTATTGGAACTCCATCGTCACTCCGCAGCCTGCTATCACTGTCACGGTTCCAACAAATACCACAGTCTCTGGAAACTCTACCTTCAATGGTACGACCCCTCCTTCCGGTGCTATTATTGTCTCCAAGAGCGCTATCGACGGTGTTACCACCTATGGGACAATCCAGGATGCTCTAAACGCTGCACCAACCTCAAGCAAGACTAACGCCACGATCTTTATCTATCCTGGTGTTTACGAAGAGCAGCTCATCGTCAATAAGTCCGGCCACACCATCTTTCAGGGTTACTCCAGTGCGACGGACGACTACTCCCAGAACCAGGTTACAATCCAGTTCAATCACGGCATCGACACTCAAGGAACCTCGGGTAGCGACACAGATGGTGCAACTGTGTACGCAACAGGCAACTACTTCCACGCGTTCAACATTAATTTCAAGAACAACAATGGAACTCAGCAGAACATTGCCTCGCTCGGTTTCGCCGTCAAGAGCAGCAAGTTTGCTGCGCTGTATGGATGCCAGATTTATGGTAACCAGGATACACTTGACATCTCGGGATACTTGTTCACCTTCAAGACCTACATCGAGGGTAACGTGGATTTCATTTTCGGTTCGGGGGCTGGATACTTTTTGGACTCAACCATATCGCCCAATGAAGATGGTATTAGCATTACGGCTTCTAAGCGCACCACAAATACCACAAGCGCTGGATTCGTTTTCGATCAGTGCACACTAAAGCCTGCCGCTGGCACCGGTCCTTTCACCAACGTCGGCCTTGGACGTCCATGGAATAGCAACTCGCGTGTCGCATACGTCGACTGCTACCTGGACTCTATGATCAGTGCCGCAGGCTGGAACCAGTGGAGCAAGTCTTCTCCTAATACGGACGGCGTCCTGTATGGAGAGTATCGTAATTACGGACCCGGGTCAAACAACTGCAACCGCGCCAGCTTCTCGCAGCAGTTGTCGGATGCCGATGTTGTTCAGTTCCAGTTGGGCAACTTTTTCGCTTCCACTGCTTTCATCGACTTCTCGCACGTCGACACGCAGCCTTTCTCAGTCGGCATTGGCTCAGCTCAGACTTGCAGCTCCGCATCATCGTCTGTCAGCTCATCGTCTACTCGCTCATCGTCTATCAGCTCATCTATTTTGTCAACGTCTTCTATCATCACCACCTCTTCGACCTCTCTCCCAGTCATTACTGCATACACTACTACGACGGTGACCTCCAAGTTGACTGCCAGTACTCTTATCACGGCGCCAGATGTCACATCAACCACGATCGTTAAGCTCACCTTGACGGTCACAAGCACTGGGGTGGACGTCATCAAGACTAGCACGCAAAAGGCCACGGCTACAATTTCCATCACTTCTCCAGACGTTACTTCGACCTCGACGTCCGTGGTCACTGAAAATGTTGGCCTCACAATTACTCCAGATCCCGTCATCCAGACTAGCACCATCAAGGAAACCATTACTGAAGGTGGAGTCACAACGAAGGCTGCCACTACTTCCACAATCAAGGGAACTACAACTATCACCGCGTTGTATACGTCCACCCCTAAGGCAACTACAATTACTCAAAGCAAAGGATCTACAGTTTTGGTCACCAGCTCTATCTACCCGAAGGGGGCTTCCACCACTGTCAAAACTACCATCTCCATTGAACCGACCAGCACCAAGACAACTACTGTTAAGCCTAAGAGTTCTGTCACTGTCAGCACTGTATCGTACAAGACAGTCACCAAGAAGTCCACAATCACGCAGTCGTGCACCCCTACTGCCGCGGCACAACGGATGGTTCGCCGCGGAGCTATCGTTGCTCGTGCTGCTAGTACTACGACTCTGACTCTCAGCACAACTATTACCAGCTACGTTAAAACGTCTACCGCGACTCAGGCCGGCACTACGGCCTATCTCACGGAAACTACGGTCGGCGCCACCAAGACAACGTCTTTGAAGGGCACCACCAGCACCGAGACCATCACTTCAGTTGTCGAGACATCCACCATAACTAAAGCAGGCTCAACGTACTATACAACCATAACCTCAACATCCAAGATCGGCAAGACCACCACCCTCAAAGCATCCACAACCACCCTCTTCTCAACCAGCTACGTGACATCAACTTCCCTTTCTACCTTTACCGCCCAAGCTGTCACCGTGAGCAGCTTCGTGACGAAGACAACAACCCAGACGATTGTGGCGGACCAGCAGACCATTTATGTCACGGAATCTGCTGATGTGACTTCGACAGTCAAGACTACGCTACCTGTCAGCACCACTACGAAATTCCAGACCATCACACAGGGTGGCGGTGTGGCGACGACAACGGTGACTGCAGCGTCGGGGACGAAGACAGTGACACAGAAAGTCTCGACGACTGTGGTGCAGTGGGCGACGAAGACGGCGAAGTGCTAGGCGTAGTGCTGCACATAGCACGACTAGGCTTTACCGGATTTTCCAGCATTGCTATATAAGTGCAAACTTCCCGTGGGTGGCAGGAATGACGATCTTTGCGCATATATTCTGTTTGTATATATTGTTTAATTTGTAATTGCGCGAAGCAACTGGGATTTATTTAGATTATAGAGTTGGGATAGAAGGTGGTATAATATAATAGCTTTTAGACATGCTCTCAGTTGTCCTCGTGATATACTGCTACCTGGTGTTGAGGTGGTGTGGTGTTAATGTGCTAGAGGCAGGCTTGTGAGGATCAAAGAAGGCCCAGGGAGATATTGTAAGGGCCGTCGGTCCACGCTCGAGACAGGGAAACTGATAAATAAGAAACTATCTACACATAGTCATTGGGGGCCGAGTCGCCTTCAAGGTACTAAGAAAAAGGCAGAGGTTCTGGTGTGGTTGTCATCGATATGTCGCGCACTTGGAACCTTCAAATTGGTCTTTCTAAAATCTTAGTCGTTTTCTTATAATTGTGACCTAAAGCTATTCAGTAGAAGGTCCCTTGTTGCATTATATTACAATAGCTCTCCTCCATTCCCTTCCGCATGATCACCTAGCGATTAATACGGGGGTCTCGCAATCGTGCTTCGTTCTATTGGGCTTTGGACATGTCTAGGCATCGCCGAGTGCTGAGCAAGTGCTGAGCAAGCAAAAGATGGACGTGACGCGGGAGATACAAAATATAGGAAAAGAGACGGGTACGGTCTGGCACATTGGGACTTCATGTATACCTACTACCTAACAGACATCGTTGTTGTATGCGTGTATATTTGCATAATGCGTGAGTGAAATTTTCGAAAAGTATCACGAAAAATAAGATAATCGGCTGCATTCAAGTGCATTAGAATTTGTCGAAGACTACTGAAAAATAAACCACGTCTAAAAAAGATGCAAAAAAATGTCGCTTCTGTGGATCGAACACAGTACCTCCAGATTTGATAACCGAAGTGCAGCTTCAGTCTGGCGCTCTCCCAAGTGAGCTAAAGCGACTATTGGGAATTATGGAAAAGAGTAAAATAATTTAATATATATACAGACACAAAGTGTGATTTTATTGAACGCATCGTTCGTTCGGCCCACACCAATTCTAGTGGGATAATCTCCAAGGAAGCTAGTTCCCCTCTCAGCCCCGCCGGAGCGCAGAAGTTTTCTCGGCAAGCGCCCAAGTCCAATCTGATGGCGCCAAACCTGACTGCGCGCCTCCCCTGCGCCAGCTACATCGCCGTCGGCACTCTGATTACAGCTGCGCACAACGTAAAGTGATTTCCACGGGTCTGCCCTGATGGTTTCAGTGCACGATTTACTTCTACACTCCGCAAGCTACGATAGGCGATAGTAGCTGAAGTGCGCTGCCTTTCCGAGCGCCAGAGAGTCTCTCGATAAAGAAAAACTGGGAGAAGGCTACCAACGAGGGAACATTTGCGGGGGATATTCAGCAGCGCATAAAATTCCTAGCCGCCCATCTCAGCGATGCAACATGAATTGCGACGACGTCTCGAAGTTTTGAGGGAGCTATTGCGCTGCTAGGAGAGACGGAGCTCGAGAGGGCTTAATTGCCATCAACGCATCTACCGGCCGCTGCATCACCTTTATATGGACGTGATGTTGCGGTTAGGTTCGCGGAAGAGGGTTGTGAGCACGAACGGAACATGTGCAGAATTGATGACGGACTTGGTTGTTCTCTATCTGGAGGGACATCTACTTTGGTGAAGAGAGGGAGTATCAAGGATAGGGCAATAGGGTAGAGGGTTATCACAGATTTGGGTTGTAAGATAGTTTTGAATAAAGAAGTACGTGCAATTATACATCATACAAGGACAATTCAATTTGCTAAACGCCTTAACTACATATGTCAAGTAGTGCAGTGACTCGATGAATCTCAGACCCTACCGACCCAATATCCAGCAGTACTTTAGATGAATGAGGGGATTTGCCTGACTAGTATATCTGCCAAGCGGTGTCTCCAGCGGCATCAAACCGACATCTTCCTGCAGAGAAGCAACACATAACTCTACAGATTTCCTTAAACAGTATTGCTTCCACTTGCGCACCTAGCAAGTCTACTGGGTCTCGTCAACGACCTCCTTCTCTGCAGCTTCTTCGTAGACGGGAGGCGCTTCGTAGTCAGGAAGTTCAGCATAGGCCACCTTCTCGTCGCCCTCTGCGGTATCTTCATCATCATCCTCTTGAGCAACAGTCTCATAGGCAGCGCGTCCACGTGCTTTAGCCACGAGCATGGCAATGAGGCAGCCCAAAGCCATGCCAATAGCATAGGTAAGACTTCCTGCGAGGATACCAATGAGGATTGGGACAAAGATTGTCAAGAAAGCCCGACGGAGGAACATATGCACTCGGTGATGAGAATGGTGGCGATGACCGTGATGGCGGGTATGACCCTCATTGTCGTCCTGATCCTCGTGCTGTGGTCGGTTGTGAGGACGGCCGCCGGGACGGAACCTGTGCGGTGGCTTGCCATGTATGGTCTCGTGTTCCATAGGGTTTCCCTTCTGCTTGTGGCACCCCTTGCCCGCTGACTTCTTGATGCCGTCATACTTGTCCGATAGGATTGATTTCCACTTGCAAAGAAGAGGCCACTCCTTGCAATCTTTCTCCTCCTCGATCGGGCTTGCCTCCTCAGCCTTGGCCGTTTGGAATGACGCAATCATGAGGCGACCGTTGACATCCTTGAGAAGGTTGATCGTGAGTGCAGGTGGATCGACTGACTTGGATTCAATCGATGTAACGCGGAAGGTCATAGGGAGGAGCTCAGTGCCAGCCTCGGTAACGGTATTCGCATGGCTGTAGTGGAAGGTGTATCCAGTGACGCGGAGTCGGAGAGGTGTATCGGAGTGGGGGTCTACTTGGGTGACGTAGAATGGCTCTGCAAAGTAACTAAACGACGGTGGGTATAGCTGTACACCGCCTATGTTAAGTGTGTCTTCGCGCGCGCCAACTTCGAAATCGAGAAGCTAATCAATATGGTCAGCAAGGCTCGAAGCGGAAGAGCGCGGGTACCATACGAAGGAGTTGCCGGTGTTCTGTGTCCAAGATAGCGCTTTTCCGTCCAGCGATGCGAACGCACAGCCGGGGCATTCTAAAGCTATAGTTCGCTTGAAGGGGTTGACGGCAAGAGTCTCCATAGCGAGGTCATCGCCAAGGTCGTCAGCCGTAAGAGGGATGAGGATGGCGCTGGCGACCAGCGCCGTCGCCAGACTGGCGTACACGCCTAGGTTGCGAAGGAACATCGTGAAAGTTGCGAGGGAAGAAGAATGGGTATATTGTGAGGAAAGAAGAGGTGAAGAAGAAAGGAAAGGCGGTGGTGTGGTCGTCGTGGTTAGAGAGGTGGCGCTTGTCCTGCTCAGCCCAGCCGCGTCATCCCAAGGCCACGCTAGCGATAATCATCACGTGAGCTCAGCCTTACGCTTCCATCCCAAAAACCAAGGGCAGAATGGAAGAGATCTTGAAACGTGAAAAGGCCCTTGAAATGATGCAATTACAAAGAAATAGGCCAGTTAGAAGGGATGATATCCAATCACTTTCCATGGAGAGGGACTTATATACTAAGTGAACACAACTAACGTGTTCCACCACCGAGTCGTCCTCACCACTGAGTCGTCCAGCCCTACTAAAATCATACTCTCTGCAACAGTACAAATCACGATATCTCAACAACTACAAATTGTACTGTGTGCCAGAGTATATTATTCAGTATTAGAACTATCAGAAGCAACCTCTCCACAGGTTCGCGCGTTATGCCTAGTCTTGCCGCAGCGCCTACAGCGCCGTTGTTGTGGTGCTGCATCTGCTGCACCACTACCCCTCAACGACTCTGCAACCGTTTCCTGCCCACCAGCACCTATCTTAGGGGCCAATTTGGCCCCTTCTGCTATAGTAAGCGTACCCTCAGTCTGTATATACTTTTGTTTACGACTTTTACGCTTTGTTTAGAGCTTAATTGTCTTGCAGAGTTAGGCAATCTTATCTACTATTAAGGCCTGTTTGTGGATAGTTGCAAGTGCGCCTTTCTAAAGCTTCTTAAGTGACTTATTAATAGAAACTAGTAATAAGTTGACTTAAGACCTAATTCTATTGCAAATTAATGTAGATTAAGCCTCAAATTTGCGCGCGTTGCTTGGTGTTTGCAACTCCTAGGCGGTGGGTTGCTTAGGTTGCTGATTAGGTGTACAAAGGCGCACATCAAGCTTTAATATTACAGCGTCTAGGTCGTGCAGCACAAGCCTAGCGCCTCTAAAGGCTCCTTTAATAGTCTCTGCTATAAACGTCTTTGTATAGGCCTTTTTAAACGCAGGGAGGAAGTCTATTTTAGCAATGTAGGTAATGGACCTGCGCGCCAAGGCTGAGATCTTAGCACTGTATGCGCGCTTTAACGGCGAGAAGCAGCCAACGTCAAGAGGCTGCAGGAGGTGCAACGAGTGTAGTAGCATACACAGTGTGATGATCTTGAGTTCCTTGCAGAGCTCTTAGAAGGCAAGCGAGTTGTAGCTCTTATAGCTGTCTAGAATAAGCAGCCTATACGCCCCCTCTGTACGCGTCTTTGTATGCGCGTCAAAGTGCTTCAACTACGCGATTCCAAGGTTATTGTTCGTCCAGCTGTTCTCACTAACAGCGAGGACCTAGTCGCGAGGTATAGAGTCGTCCTAGTACCACGTAGAGACGTGAACCTTGCTGGCATAGATAATAAAGGGTGGAATCGCCTACTCTCTAGCGCAGATAGAACTAATGACTGTAACCTACTTGCAATTGCCTGGCTAAACGAGCTTAGGTTTCTCTTGTCTCTCTAAAGCCGTAATTACAAGCTAGGACCCTATTACGCCTATTATAAAGCCTGATTTATTAAAGTTGTAGATGTCCTTGTCTAGAATGCTGTACTTGGCTTGCACGTTGGCTTTAAGCTTAAACCACGCGCTAATAACCTTAGAATCCTCCTGTTTCTTCCTCTAGTTATTGTAGGATTAAGTCTAACGCGCTTGTAGCTCCTCCCTTTGCGAAACAAATTGGTCTGGCTAGTTAATGCTAACTGGCTTAAGCCCTTAGTGGGCGCGCAGGTTGTTAGCTATATCTTGCAGTGCAGGCTTTAAGGGCGGGAATTCTCTTGTATCAAGGTCAAGTATGTAGTCTACTATCGCCTGCTCTTCTGCTAGTGTGAGGTTCTTGCAGTTGGCGTTGCAATTGCGTTGTGAGGGTCGTCTGCGGGTTTGATCGCGAAGCGTTGATCGAGGCACTAGATAGGCGCGTGCAGCAGCTCTTTCAGTAAAATTCGCGTTGGATCTTGTAGCTTTAATAGCAATAGTAATCCTAGCTTTATTAGATGTTAATACAGTAGGTGGTGGTGGTGGCATTGTAATAGTACTGTCGCGCAGAGTATATTTTAGTGGGGCTGGACGACTCGGTGGTGAGGACGACTCGGTGGTGGAACACGTTACATTGGATATCCTATTGTAACTGTTACGAGGAATTTCCCAAGTTGAACTCCTTCAGTGTTTCCTAACAAATGATAGTATGGAGGAGTGTGCTCCTTCACATCTTACTATTGTGTAGGAACATACGTTGCCGGTCGGATTATTTCTAATACTAGATGCGGTCACAAAATGCAGCACATTCCCTTCTAATTCCAACAAGTAGTGTATGGACAGAAATTACGATGAACCGAAAGTATACTTCGAAGAGACATATTCTACCTAGTATCTACTTAATAGAATGCTTTTTGCTGCCTCAAAATGGTTAGCTACTAGATGGAAACACTGGTTGTTGACCTGCTGCAACCCATCTTGGATTGCAGTCGGATGACCACGACCAGCAAATACAGCGGGGGATCCGTGGAGACAACACAATCAAACCCGCTGTCCCCACGAAAGAATACGAGCCTCTAGTGTGAGGGGCCATCCAGGCAGATGTGGCATCCCTTGCCGCCATTCCAGTGAGAGCGTGGGAGAATGTGGGTAGCCACAGTGTCTAGCTGGGGTTCCAGG